GCATAACTAGAATAAGGCAGGTATTTACTTGCCTCTGTTTTCTTCAGAAGTAGATGTGCTCAAGATAATTATATTTCCTGTTTATGACACTTATCTGCAGGTTTAACAAAGAAGATCTATAGTCACTTTTCTGGCTGCATACCTGGGCATTTGTGTTTCATACTTGTTCATCCTAATGCCTTTCCATGCAGTCAAACTCCCTCATCACTACTGTAGTCCAATCATTTTCTCACTGCATTTGGTGAGCCAATCAGCCTCTGTTCTGTGTGGTTTCAATGTAAGGTTTCTTCTGTCACCGTTACACCTTTCAGACTGTCATCTCATGTGATCCTCCGCATCTCCACTTCATCATGGTCACTTAAACAGCCTTATCAAAGCCTCCCCCTTCTTCATCTTCACTACCACCAGTGTGTAGACTCAAGGGAATCCTGTCCTTATTTCTTTCATTGTAGGGAATCTATGTTGCTTCTATGTTGTTTCAATAGAGTCTAATTGACTAATTGCTTATTCCTCAAATTCTTTTTTCTCCTTAAGTCATACTCAGTTCTTTCATCCCTATTGAACTGCAATTAATAATTCTGTTGCAAAACTTAGTTTTTCATCTCTTCCTTTTCTTTTTCCACCACAGACACTATACCTCAGCAAATAAACCTCAGCGAGTAACAGCTATGCAGACAACACCATCAGTTTTAAAATATGTAAAGCAATATTTAGAAAATTCAGATCAACTAGATCTATATGTGTTTACTCAATTATTTTTAAAACAATTAATCTTTCGTTCTCGTTCTTTCGGTCACTACCCACAGCTCGTGACCATAGATGAGGGTAGGGACGTAGATCAACTGGTAAATTGAGAGCTTCACTTTTACACTCAGCTCTCTCTTCACCACAACAGACCGGTACAGCGTCCACATCACTGCAGCCGCTGCACCAATCCATCGATCTCCCGCTCCCTTCTCCCATCACTCGTGAACATGACCCCGAGATACTTGAACTCCTCCACTTGGGGCAGGAACTCATCCCTGACCCGGATTGGTCAGGTCTGTGTTTCTCTGCTTGGGCAGCTGCCCCCGCAACCCGGCCCCGGATAAGTGGAAGAAAATGAATGGATGGATGGACGGATAATCTTTTGTTACTAACTATTGTGTGTGCTAACAACCTGGAAAAAGTTCAAATCAAAGCAAGTGGGAACAAATGTTGGAAGGTCGCTAAGCTAACATATCTCTAAAATAAGATATAAGATAACTCTTTATTGTCATTGCACAGTCATACCTAGTACAATAGTACAACAAAATTAAAAACTGTCCTATGTTGGCACTATGTACAACACAACACAACACAACACAATGGATAACTTACCTTAAAGTAGCAACAAGAGATGTATGAGCAAAAGAGTGACTTAATAAATAAAAAGAAAAGGACTGTGTGTATGTTTTTTGCACATTATTATTATAATTATTATTATTATTGTTAATGGGGGAATGGGGGGAGGAGGGGGGCAATAACGATAACATTAATTAGAGCTACCATTTGCAGAACATTGAATATTGAACATTTAATATATTCAATATATATATTTAATTTGAACTGCATTCATAATCAAGATATGTTATATTGTGAGGTGGAGACTCTGTATTTAATTTAATGGAAAAATATTTTCATTTTCAGTGATTATGACTTGCAGACAGTGACATGGAATGAAAAAAATTGGAATATAATAAAAACCTTTTCATCTATAAATGCAGTGAGTTGTTAAATAAATATGTAGAATAAATGAGGAACTTTTTGCAGTCAGCAGATAAAATTAGATCCCGTTTTTAAAGTATAGTAAAATTCAAAAGCTTCTCACATGCACCTGGCCAGCCACTTGATATAAAAGAAGACGTGATCCATCAGGCCAGGCCACCTTCTTTCTTTGCTTTGTCATCCAGGTCTGATGCTCACGTGCTCATTATTTTCCCGTCTACTGAACTTTTAGCAGTGGACAGGGTTGAGAATGGAGTCCCTGACTGGTCTGCAGCTATGCAGCCTCTTTGTTTCAAGTGGATAGTGTCTCAGCACATTAGAGACTGCCTTTGACCTTCACCAGTTTGCTTATAAAGCAAATTAGTCCACAAAGGATCCCATCACCCTACAAAGAGCACTGAACCATGTGGACAAAAGGAAGAGCTATGTGAGGATGCTCTACCATAATCCCAGACATCCTTACCACCAAACAGGACCACCTCCTCTTACTAGAAATGAAGAACGGATGGAATCTGCCTCGATCAAGTTTCTGCGCACCCTCATCTCTGCTGATCTGATTGTGGATTGCACAACACTGGACATTATATTCCTCATTTCCAGTTAATACTTGTACAGCTGCTGTTATTGTGTGT